CAGATTACTATCTTTATCTGTTCTTCATGTTTTTCCTTTTTATAGACTGAATTTTCTCTTAGTATATTTTCTCTTACTTATTGTATGTATATAACTGATGATTAAAAAAAAATGAAACTAGAAACAAACGCTCTGCTAACAAATCACATCAAGTGTGTTTCTTCTTTTCTGACTGTCCTGAAGGAGAAGGAGTATTGGTGTCACAGCTGCTGCTTTCGCATGTGACTGAGTACTCAAGGCTGTAACAGTTTCCACACGGTGTGGTTCCAGCTGGGACTTTCTCATGAACGCACACTGCCATATAGCCGGAATAGGGGACCGGGGTCTGCAGTAGTCTTGTTTCTATGAAGTGTTATCCACAATTCAGTGTCATGCCATATCCAAGTGAAAATATCTCCTTTTAGAAAAGTAAGTTGAGAAGAGAATGAATTACATTCTGATGTTATTAATTATGTTCTTCAATACAAGAATCCCAGGGCAGTATTTTGACAGGAAGAGGCTCTAGGGGGACAGAGAGGAAGGATCTCAGGGTGCCAGAAGTGGAAGGCACCTTAGAGGATGAACCAGGCATCAACCCTGTCAATTTGCAGATGGGCACAATGAGGCCCAGGGTGCTGAACCGCACTGTACACGGCTACTTAGCTGCTGCTGGAATCAGGGCAGAAGGCACAGCTCCACACTCTCCATAGACCACTACCCTGTTCTGCCTCTGTTCTCTGTTATTTGAAGTGATTTCAGGAAGTATTAATTATCTCAGTTTTTGTTTCTGAAAAAATTCTATGCAATACATTCTCCAACTTTTCCGTGTCATAGAGATGACACATCTGGTATTTAGGAAGTACAGGAATGCATCATATTTTATGTCTTTTAAGGCCAAACAATTGATATATGTAAGCCTGTGTTAATTTCCGTTATGGTTTTACAAAAAAATTTAGGAAAAGATGTATAAATTGAATTTAATGCTCTGTTAGATGCACATAGGATTTGGTAATAAAGGTAATTCCAAGTAATCTTTAATGCGTAATTCATTTTTTGACTTAATCAGAATTCCCCTATAGTAGGTTTATTCAAAGTAGATTCTGTTTATTTCTTTACTTTGAAGGCGTTATGTGGATAAAGTTTTTCATGTTTTGTTTTCTTTTTTTTCTCTCTTTCTTTCTTTTTCTCTCCTCACCTGGGCCCTCCCTTCCCTCCTTCTTGCTTGACAAAGAAAATCTAGAAAATCCAATCCTTAAATCGTCTGCTTGATGAAGGAGGCAAAACGAAGACAACAGGAGATAATGTGATGGATGGACAGAGGCTGGAGTGATGGCGGGGCTTTTTTTTTTTAAAGGAATGGAAAAGAGAGACCTGATGGCAGCTGATGTTACAGTTACCGTGTTTGAAATTAGCTTCCCTAGGAGGTATGGTATATATTTCTTGAAGAATAATGTGGTAACAGAATTCCAGCATTATAGTGAAGTGTAACGAAAAACAGCTTTAGGTATGTGCTTTTAACTACTGCTGCAAAAGAGGCAAGTCAGCATTTATTTGTGCAGGAAACCATCTATTTAATTGTTCTAGAGTTTTAGCATTTAAAAATTATATGAAAGTCCAAATAAACTGAAATTGCTTTAGCTAGATAATCACTTGGAGGGGGTCTGGGGCCTCAGACAAACTGCGTTTTCTCACGAATTTCCAACCAACTGGAGTCACACGGAGAAGGGTACCAACGGCCGCCCGCCATTTTATCAGTCCTGTGATTGTGGCGAGCACGTGTTGTACAGGGACATCCCGAAATTTAAATCTGGCAGCGAGAATTCTACAAAGATGTCTGATAACTTTTAGCTACAACTACCTTCAAAATAATAGATTGATGATTTCCTTTATTTCCTAGAAGAATTTATTTTATAAATACTTTGTTTACATTTTAGATTGTACCTGTCCTCACTTAATTTAAAATGATGAATCTAGTTAGAATCAGCTGTTATTCCAAGCTATCATGCTTAAGCTATGTCAACAGCATTTATTTGTACTAATGCTAATATTTCCATCAAAATTTGCCTGTGGAATATACAGTTCTTAATTTTAAAATGTCAGTTCTTGAGATATACTGTATGAAGCTATTGTCAGCTTCTGTATTTCACAATGCAATCAGCATATAACTATATTGATATTAGGAAAATACTTGTTTTTTAAAAATATATTGAGGTATGATAAAGATGATCTAATTTGTGAATGCATATGAGTGTGTGGTTACTTTTTATAATGTGAAATAATGAATAGTGAGTTTACTCAAAATAAAACATAGGTTAATGAGATACCTGTGTTTGTGAAAAAAGCTTTAAATACCTTCCTGCAGTTTTTATTCTGTAATTAAAGAGTGAGGCGCTTCATTTTTAAGTAATGAGTAAGAAGCACACTGATGTCAGTGTGTATTACCCAGGGGAGAGCACTCAGCAGGAGACTTTTCCATGCCGTTGGTTTCCCCTTTTCCTTCTGATGGCCTCTTTTTGGCTATTTTTAGTGATTCTTAATATCTTTCATTTAAGGACAATCAGACAAATTAAGGACATATGGAATTGTTCCACTACTCAATTTGTCAGTAGTTAAAAATTGGGCAGGTATGAGAAACTTGGCAGTACTGGCTAAATGAATTTAGTCCATTCTTTGTGGATTTCATTTAACTATTTTAGTGACGTCACCCACGAACATCACTAGCGTGGATGTGAACACATGATGATGTAGGAGGGTGTCTGTGGTGCTTAATGGGACATCAAATGGCATCAGTTTCCCCAACACTTTTATTCATAGTCAGCAATGACTCTGTTGCTTTAAACAAAATGGAGAATTTCAGTTTATTTGTTTAATAATAAATTTAGCGGAGTTAGGAGCTTCTGTTTTTCATCATGCGTGCAGGAGAACAGCAAAGCGATTGACAGAGAGAAGTCGCTACTACTTATAAAGTTCAGGAATATACAGAAATCAGCTGTAGTCTTATTCCTACTCACTGAATTATCAATTAAAACAGTTAAAATTACTTTTGCAAGTTTTCTTTTTTTTCCACAGAACATGATAATTTCTAAAGTTGATATGATTTGTTAAAATTATACTTCCAAGGACATATATATAAAAACAGAGTAAAAAACAAATTGGTGACAGTTATGAATAGCCGTACATATGTTGATTTATACCATAAACAAGACTGATATTCTTGTAAAAGTTCTCAGCTTAACAACTTATCAAATAGACCCTTTAAACCAGTTGTATGACAGACAGACCTGTGTCCGTCTGTAGCTGCAGCGAGATTGAGACATCTCCTTCATCTTTTTATTAATTATGGCAACTTGATTTTTAAGGATAGGTTCTAGAATTTCAGTAGTAAGCATAACGAGCAAAAAAACTGACTCCTCGTAGAACTCAGTTTTACTGGCAGAAATGGAGATAAGGCTAAAAAAAGGATTTTACAGATAGCGCGTGCACACGCACGTGTGTGTGTGTGGAAGTTTCTAAACCTTAAGTATCATGAAGCCTTGTTACGCTATGCGGATTTTTACCCCTCTCTTGAAACCTTGAACTTTTTTTATAAGATTGGTTACATTTTTCATTGGTCTGCATTTTTTCATCAGGCATGTATAAGTTGGAAAATCTGAAGCCTAGTGTCTTAGGAGCTTCTTTAAGCATATGTGGGGGAATATTAAAAAAAATTTTTGAGTAGAGAATAGGGCCATTTTCTGCCTTAAAGAGTAACGTGTTAGATACAGTTACTCTGCTGTTACTGTTTGGCAGTGCATGTGGAGAGAGGAGGGGAGGTTTGATCTGCATGTTATACGAATCCTTCAGTAATAATGAACCCAACCTGGGTGGGCCCATATTTATTCCAGAAGGTATTTATTCTCTTAGACTTTCTTTTCTAGATTTCATTTCTTAAAAGTGAGTAATTTGAACCCTCTTTTATTTTCCTTTCTACTATTTTTCCACAAACAAACCTGACTAGTTGAACACTAACAAGTCACTCTCAGGTAGGAAGAAGGAAGAGTGAAAGGGGCTGGGGCACTGGAGTCAGGAGACCGGGTCTCTGACGCCGCCCGCGTCACCCTGGGTACCTTGGGCGAGTGTTTTCCTTCCCTGAGACGTACTGTATGAGTCATCCGTTAGTGCAGTAGGCACAGCGCATAAGGTCCACAATACTGTTAGGGGCCCATTAAGATGTTTTACTTCTTGCAATAAGCAAGTTATATACTTTGACTGCATTGGTCTAAAGGAAAATATTATCTGGAATATATTCATCATTAAACCACTGCAGTCATAAAATATAATTCTTAACATACATATATATATTTTTTAATGGAGGCAGGAGCCTACTAAGGAAAAAGTGCCTAGGACCCCTGAAAATCATAATGTGGCCCTGTCTCTGGTTCCCCATTTCTTCCCTTTGTAAAATGAGGGTGTTGAAGTAGATGATCTGTGGCTCACTGACGCCTCTGCCGAATGACCTGACGCACCATGGAGTAGACGGGGCTGGGTGGAGGCAGCTGCTGTGATCAGGACTGACTGTAGCTCTTTTCTTCTAATTTTAGCCAGCAGGAAATGATTCTCTAATAGATTAAAATAAAACACTTATTTTGCAGCAGAGGGAAGTAAAGAGAGTGAAGCACATGGCTCGTGGAGAATGTATACATGTCTTCCTCCCAAAGGCTTCATCTTCAAATAGTCTTCTGACCTAATGTGTTTTTAAGTCCAGAAACGTGAGTAACAGAGAAAGATAAAGATACTCTACCAAGCTGGTCTTGAGTCAGTAAGAAAGACTCTTAGAAACAGGCTTAATATACCAGACAGAGTGTATAAACATCTCCCTAAAATAAGTTTGAATACTCAGATGTATCTAAGAAAGACTCAAACTGGCAGAGGACAAGGGGACACTCTCTTCTTCTGCCACCCAGTGCCAGTATTCTGTGTGGGTTCAAATGCCTCAGACTCTTCATCTGCTATCGCACAAAGTATTTAACACGTGCCATAAATCATAGGAGAGTTGGGTTCACTACCCTGCCCAGAAATAAAAGCGTTCCAGAGGTTTCTTCATAGATGATGAAATGAAATGGCCGGTCCACTTTGATGATGGGAGGCATGGAATAAGCAGTGATTTCTGTCAGGGTTCCTGCCGCAGCCTCAGTGCCTTTTTCATCAACCTCAATTATTGCTCTTTGTAAAACCTAGAAAAGGAAACAACGTGGGAGACCATTGGTGTGGCGGTGGAGAGGAGGGAATTATTTGGGGCCCCTTGACATTTTTTTGTCTGATCCTGGGGTTTGGCTGTCCAGGGCTCATCTGTGCTGATAGGGACTGCCCGGAAGTCCAAAACAATACCAGGAGACCCCAGGCACCCAGATGTGCAATGCATTCTGGGCGTGGACCCAGGGACTCTGGCTGGCCAATTTATGCACAGGTGCATCAAATCAGCAAATACTTATTGAGCAGGTACTTTGTGCTCCTGATTCCTGTGCTGAGCTGGTGCTCCTCCCAGAAGATTTTCAAGCTGCCTAGAACCCCTGGATCCTTTTACCTTCCTTCTAGCAGGCAAGGTGGGGGCAGGGGCATGGTTAGTCTTCTGTACCAGCTTCCTGGCACCTGTCACTGCTCTGAGGCAGTCCCCAGGGCAAGCCGGGGTCCCTGAACTCTGGTTGCCTGTACTCAGGTCGCTTGTCATGTTTGGGAGGCCCTTCTGTCCAGGAACCCCATGTGGTATGAGTGATGTAACTATATAAATATTATAAGAGGAGAAAATGAAAGCATCAGTGTCATAACCCCTGGAAATTCTCTAATTTCCTGGGGTGAAAATTTACTGCCCGTGGTAAACAGAGGGAGAATGTATTTCATGGTTCACGATTTAAACTGTAAAACAGCAGCATTTTTTAATGTGTGCACAGCAGAGAGCTTTTCAGGTGCTGGTCTGCGGCGTTCTCGTGTTTATCTGTCTTCCCTTCCCTGAGATGCTGAGGCCTGGTTGTGGGCCAGGGTTACCCTACCCAGTCCCACCTCAGTGGAGGCCATCTTTAATCTCTCTTGGAATTGGAAAATACAATTGTTTGGGAAAATAATAACCAAACTCCACAGCTAAGAAAGGATGTAGTGAGATGTAGGGAATGTAGTGGAAATGTTGGAGTGTTTTCTTGGTTGTAATATGACTGGGGGTTGGCTGCTGGCGTTAATGAACACAGGTGGGAATGCTAACCAGTTCCCTGCAGCACAGGACAGCTGTGACAACAGATGATTGCTTCTCCCCAAACCAGCAGCACTTCCACTGAGAAATGGGTTAGCCAAAGGTGTTCCGTATGGAAGGGGACTAACTTCGCTCTCAGTAGCTTTAGAGGCAGAACTAGGACCAGAGAGTTATGAGTGAGTGAGGGAGGAGTTACAGGGGTGTGTGTATGTGTGTGTGTTTGTATAAAACAAAAACAGTTTTAGCCATTTGTGGATTGGGTTGCTTTTCAAAGAAGTGGTGAGTTCCCTGTCACTTGAAAACAAAAGACTAGAGAGCTGTTTTGTAGGGATGTTATAGAGGAGATTTCCACGAGGGGTGGGAAGTTGGGCCAGATGACCTCGGGGTTCCTTTCATTTGGAAAGTCATGTAATTTCATGAATTTTAAATGACTTTGTGAACCAATTCCATTTCGGGAGAGCCTTGGGAAAGAAAAGGGAAAGCTCTACATAAGAGAAATTAAATTAGTTGAACAAATGTTTTAATAAAGTGGCTCAGAATTCTTAAAACATGCAAGTTGGGTGCTATTGCAAGTCTTTTGGATTTTAAACCTAATTTTCTACTGCAACTTATTATTTTATCAACGTTGAATGGTTTGCAAAACTATGTGTTGGTTGGGTCACGTTTCATCCTTAGGGTTTGGGCCCGCGTGGAAGACCTTGGCTCACCTTGGACACTTGGAGATTGCTTGCAACCGCCGAGAGCTCGCTCAGGTCAGCCCCGGGTGAGAAGACCCTTCTGATCCCCATCTGCTTAAGCAGCTCGTGCATCTCGTATTTCTGATCTAACTTGAACTTTGGAAAGAAAACTTCCGTTTTTCTGTGGTACAAGTACATATAATGGTGAAATGTAGATAAAAGCCATAGATTCTGAACACTAAAAAGATCACAGTTTCTTTTTTTTCCTTCCTCCAAGATTACTTCCATTAACGCGTCTCCCTAGGTGACGGTGTGTGTGGCTCGTTCCCTTCTTCTGTAATGGTCCAGCTCGGAGAAAAGAGTTCTGGCTTATGAAATGTGTCTCACTTCAGCCTCACTGAACCAGTTTAGTTTCCTGGCCAATGACTCCCATTCTCTTGAGCAAAGAATGCCATACTTTGCATCCATTTCCCTATGTTTTAAAAACAACCCAAACCAGCCAAATAGCTGTGTCCAGCGATGCTGCAGACTCCTGGATGGTGGCTTTTTTCATTCCCTGCATTCTGCAGACCCCCAGGTTCCAGAAGAAGCTTAGGAGTCTGGGGATGGACAGGGGGAGGGGAGTGAAGGAAATTTCCAACCCCTACCTATCTTTAGCCTGAGAAACTCTGATATTATCAATTTTGTATGTATTGGAGTTCTATGAAAATACTTCGTTTGGAAAGATGAATTCTGTGGTTCAAACATAAAAAGGATGAAAAGTACTAATTGATACTAAATTAGTCTTAAAGACATCCTAATTTCTTAATTGGTGAAGTATACCCAAAAATGCCAATCAATACCAATTTCACAGGGTTGTTCAGAGGATTAAATGAAATAATACATAAATATCCAGAACAATGTCTGGTGTACAGTAGGGGCTTCATGCATATTAATTTCCTTTTGGGGACGTTATCCCCCTTCGTTCTCTCTCTTGCACGGAGTTGGGCCAGGCTGTCAGACTGGAATATAACTGAGCATATGACATGTCTTGAAGATTGATTTATAAGTGTATTGATCCAGTCAAACATTTGTTGAGGGCTTATTATGTTTGAGGTCCTTTTTCTAGGCCCTAAGGATTTGAAGAAAAAACAAAGAGTAATGAAGATAAAGCTAACATTGGGGACTCTTAGCTGGACTGTGTCTGCGCCACCTTCTGGGGTGACAGGATTCAGAAGGCGGAGCCGTGGGACTCTTCTTGCTGCTGACTTCCTTGTACCCCAGGAGGTGGATTAATTTAGTCGACAAACATTTGAGGGCCTGCTCTGTGCTTCCGACTCCTCTCTACGCACAGCTCCCCCCGCCCCCCGCCCCGGGTCATCTCATCCAGTCTCGTGGTTCTCAGTTCCATTTATATGTTGTTGTTAGTGCTGTCAAGTGGGTTCTGACTCCTAGCGACCCTGTGTATAGCAGAGTGGAGTCTTGCCTCTCTTTTGGTGCCGTCCTCTCACCTTCCAGCGCTATATCAGGCAGCTCTCCACTGCTATTCACAGGCTTTTCATGGCCAATATTTTTGAAAGTGGGTGGCCAGGTCCTTCTTCCTAGTCTATCTGGAGGCTCCACTGAAACCTGTCCACCATGGGTGATCCTGCTGGTATTTGAAGTCCCAGTGCACGGCTTTCAGCATCACAGCAACATGCAGCCACCACAGTGTGACGGCTGACAGACGAGTGGTGTGGTTCCTGACTGGGAAACGAACCCAGGCTGTGGCCATGGCAGCGCCGGATCTTAACCACAAGACCACCGAGGCTGCCTATCTCTATGCTGATGACTCTCCTAAATTTGTATCTACAGCCTGGACCTCACCTCCAGATCCCACTGCCTTCCTGACATCTCCACCTGTATGTATAAATAGGTATTTCTGATCCAAATGTTTCAGACTGAACTTTTTCACTTAGCCACAGACCTGTCCCTCCCATAGTCTCCCCATTTCAGTAAATGACAAGTCCATCTTTCGGTTGCTAAGGCCCAAAATTTTGCAATCATCTTTGACTCCCCTCTTTCTCTGTCTCACCCATGTCCAGTTCGCTAGCAAAGCCTGCCACCTCTAGCTTCCTAGTAGGTCCAGGATCCAGCTGCTTCTCATCAGCTCACTGCCACCACAGAGCCCAGCATCCTGATCTGCATCAGTGACCGCCTGACTGGTCTCTCTTCCCCTCTCGTCCGCTTGGTGTCTTTTCCAAGCACAGGGGCTTGTGTAGCCCTGTAGAGCACAGGTCAGACCATGTTGCTCCTCTGCTTGTCTTCAGTGCCTTCCCATCGTCCCTCAGGAAAAGCCCAAGTGTTTCCCGGGGCCTGTAACACACGGTCCTGGATGACCGGGCTGCTGGTTCCTCTGTGACTTCATCTCCACCCTCTGCAGCCTCACTGGCCACCTTGCTGTTCCTCCAGCCCAGCAAGCACACCTATCCCGAACTTCCACACTTCTGCCTGTAACTCTCCTCTCCCCCAAGATGGCCACACAGGCACCCTCCTCCTTCCCATGTTTGCTTACCGCTCCCTTCCTAGCGAAGGCTTCCCTGGCACCTACCCGCATCCTGCTGGCGCTCCTGTCCCTTCCCTGCACTAAGACTTGTTTGTCTCCCTCCCGAGGATGTAAGCTCCATGATGGAAGCCTACACGATGTAAGCATCGTGCATTATCACAGCCTGGCACGTGGGGGAACGTAACTGAATGCTGGCTGAGTGAAAGAACGAGCCAGGCGCTGTGATCGATGCCGGGAGAGAGTGGAAAACAGGGCGGATGCAGCCCTGGCCCTCTCATGTGGGAGACCGGCATTAGAACCACAAAATTGTGGTGAGTGTTCCTAAGGATGGGAAGGCTGAGCTCGGGTAGGGCGAGGGGAAGAGCCGTACCTGGTTTTCATGTTTCTGAGCCACGTGTCCACCAGCTCTGTGCTCAGGTAGTCTTCCAGGGCGAGGTGGTCACCTATTTTCTCCGTGAGGACCACCAGCATGGAGGCGTTTCCTCGGTAGGGCAGTTTGAGGACATGGCAGCGGAAATTCCTGTCAAAGGTGGAGGCAAACATGCCCACCTTGTACATCATGGCCACCTTAACCGCCTTGTACTTGTCCAGGTGGAAAGTGTCTGTCTCCGTGAGGACAGGGTCAAAGGGGGCCAGCCACTTCCCTAAACGGGCGAGAAGAGAACGCATTGTGGAAGCCACCCTTCTCGAAGGCATCATTCTTGCTAAAGTAGTAGAGCGCCAGGGCTCCGTCCCCCTTCCTGCCCAACTCGGAAAGGCATTCCCCTGTCGGGTTTGTTCTGACCACAGCGCAGGCAGGCAAAATGAATCGCCCAAAGATCAGCCTTTCCCAGGCCTCTTTCCCAGCTGTAAACTCGGATCTGCCCGCAGGCCCTATTGGAATCATGCACAAAAGCAAGGAGGTGTTGCCTTAGGATCCCTGGCTCCTCCATCATTCTGGACCCAAACAAATGCACTGATTCCATTCGGTGCTCTAGCGACCCACTTCCTTCTGCACTCCCTCCCCGTGTCGGCTCCAGCTGAGAGAAGACCTTGGGCCTCTCCCTTCACTGTCTGACAGCCACTCTGTCTAGGGCACATCACGTGCAAACAGTCCACTGTGGCAGAAGTGAGGATGGTCCTGCCCATCCCCTGCTTAGGGTGGTTCAGAGGGACAGGGCCCCTTGCTGGCAAATAGCCACAGGATCCAGAGGAGGCCACCAGCATGCAGGGGCAGAGCTCCACACAGACCTCTGTCCTGGGTGCGTGGCCTGCTGACTGGAAGCATGTCCTCCTCCTGGACTTTGCAAGTCCTCTAGTGTCACCTGTCTAGTACAACGGTGGCCACGCAGGTCCAGTGAGGCAGATGGAGAGAGCCTGGGATGAGGGTGTCAGGAGCCCCTCATTTGAGTTTGGCCTCTGCCGTTTGTCACGTGACCTTGATCAAGCTAACCTCTCTAAGCCTCTTTCTGGTCTGTGGAGTAGGTGGGAGTGTCCCCATTTTCTTATTAAGAATCTGAGGACAAGACACTTTGTCACTTGCCCCAGGTCACAAAAGTAGATGAAGGAGCAAATATGTAACCCTAAATCTCTCAAAAAATGTGCCTTTTTTTAAAATGACCCAGAAAAGTCATGGTGTCAGAATGTCAGAGGGGAGCTGTGTGGGGGTGCTTGGAAAACTGTAATGACTGCCAAGCATGTGGGGTCACCAGGGTAGGGGCATCAAATGAAATGTCATCTAGCACCATGCCTAGAACGTCCTACGTGTTCAGTGCATGTTTCAACCTGTTTGTGAAACCCGAAAACACACTCATAGAAAATCACTCAGCAATCACCGTACACTGGTCAGAGGAAAGGAGGAGACAGATGCAGCACCCGTGGCTTTGCGAGAGCAGAATGTCATCATGGTACCTTTGAGCGAGACGTAATCCACAAGAATTAATTTGGTGTCAGGATTGATCTCAACAAAGAGTTGGGGGATTTTCCCCCAAGTCTCTTTGTTAATGTAACGATTCATGAGCCCCCTGGCCTGTGAGACGTTGCGAAAATTCAGAGTCACACACTCTATGTCGAAATACTGCCTGGAAAAATTGAGGAAGGTCTCTTTGACGTCAAAATCCTTGTGGATGAAAGCAAAGCTCCCCTGGGCGAGGCCGAGCTCGGGGTTGCGGGAGAGGCTCGCTCTGAGCTGCTTAAACAGGGCAGGCAGGTGCGGGGGCCTGGTCTGGTTCAGCGCCCGCAGGTGGAGCGCACTCTCCAGCTGGGCCTTGGTCTGCCCCTTGGGCCCCAGCATCAAGGCTGCCATGGCCGAGGACAGGCCAAGCGGGGAGAAGACCACATTGCCGTCGTGCCTCATGGAGATCTTGCGCAGCAGGCTGAACCCGAGGTTGGAGATCTCCTCGGAGAGCTTCTGCCCGCTGGCCCTCAGCCGGGGCTCCCCCTCCTCCTCCTCTTGCACCTTCTCCTCCTCCACCTCCACCACTTCCGCCTCCACCACCTCCTCCTCCTCTGAAGCCCGCACTCCCTCTCTGGTGTGGTTCTGGGCAGTGGGGGTCTGCAGAGTCTCCAGCCCTGCCTGGGCCTCTGGCGACTGGCGTCCAGGGGCTGAACTGAGCACCAGCCACGCCTCGGCCAGGAGGCAGGGGAGCAGGAGGCTCAGTGCCAGCTTCATTTGGTCAGCCGTGGAGGCCACAGGGGCGCGTCTGTTCAGCAGCAAGACTTCCTCGGGAGAAAAGGGCAGAGGTTGTCGTTAATGCCTAGGACAACATCTCCTCCCTGTGTCGTGGTGCAATTCCACCAGCAACCCCCCTTCCTTCCGTGGGAGTTGGGGTCTTATCTCTGGGCTCATGCAGCTGGGCGCTGCCTCAGGGAGACCTGGAGCAAGAAGGGGCAGCATTTGTTCACCCAAGGAAGAGGGGGATTCATTCACGGAGCCAAACCTCTGGTTCCCATCGCCTGCCAGGCCCTCGGGCAGCTCCTGGTCCCCCCAAACTTCTTCCACTTCCTCCCAGAAGGAGTGGGCATTAAAGAGGGCATGGTCTGGGCACCGGCCCTGACCGGGTGTGGGTCAGAGCGGGGCCGGAGTCGGGAGACTTCACAGACCTTGTATTGATCTGCTTCATTCATTGCCCTTGATCCTTGGGCCGTACAGCAGCCCATCCATGCTGGGCTGGGGGGACCTGGGTCTGGGGATGTGTTTGGCTGGGCATTTAGGGGGTCTAGGTGGCAATCAGAGCAAGGAAAAGGGCCAGTACCCAGATGGCCTGACATGGTGCTGGAATTCCCCTGCGGCCCCTCTCGTGCAGCTCCCCACCCAGCCCTGGGCCCAGTTGCTCCTTCCAGGCATCCTGCCTTCAGTACACCTGGAGTTCTCGAGATAGAAGCAGATGACCAGCCAGTTCATCCCGCCCGAGGCCTGGGCTCAGCTCCACCTGGACAATCTCATCTGATCCTCACAGCGACCTGTGAAGTGTGTCCTACTTCTCACCAGCCCCCGGTTACCTATCCTAGTGGAGCCAGCCTTCCAGCCCCAGAGTGGGTCTCCCAACTCCAGGCTCCTCCCCACTAGCTGCCCCCGCCCCTACCACCTCCCGGGGCTACCTCGCATCCAGGGCACAGACCCTGGCTCCTGAGCAGCTGCACGTTTTCCGTCCGAATGAACACGGGCTGGGCTGTGCCGCCTGGCCTCACAGTCAGTTCCTGAGGTTCAGCTGATGGCACCTGACCTGCATCCCAGAAGCTGGCTGGGCAGGTCACTGAAATGCACCCTCACCCTCTTATAGGACAGTGGGGAGCAGAGCAGACGCAGTTCCCATCAACAGAGACCCTCATTCTGAACCGGGCCCCCTGGAGCAAGATGTGACAGGGTCAAGTTCCAGGCCTCTTCTACCTGGTGCAGGGGGCTGTGTCCTCGTCCGCGCCTGGTACAAAATGTACCCTGTCCTGGGACTCAGTACACTGCTCCTTGCTTATGCTAAGTGGCACCTTAGAATTCAGGGCCTCACTTGTCCCGCATCACTATCTTACTTAGTGAAATACCTCTGCTGTGTTTCCTAAGTGTCAGTGTTTCGGGCATCCTGTCCAATTCTGAAGACAAGCCTGCGTTCAGCAGGCCACTCAGGGTTGTAAATGCTGGGTGAGTACGTCCTGCAGTGGACCAAACGTACCCCAACTTCATGCCTTCATTATAGTACAGTATTTAGCGCTACTTTGTAAGTTAAAAAATTAATCCCACGGCAGGATACTCCCGAATTCAGAGTCACTTCTCTCTGTGACGGTCATCAGGAAATGATCCCAGCACACCAAAAATGTCACCCCTTCTGATGGCTGAGTGTCACCTTGCAGCTCTTCCTCCAGCATGGCGTGCAGCCCAGGAATACACGGGTGCCCCCGCACGCTGCTTACTGGACAGCCCTGTGTATCCCCGAAGGTCTCTGTTCATCTACTGATGGAACAGATTATACACAGGGGGCACCCCCTCGGGCACTAGGTGCCATCAATGATACGTCATCCTAAAGGGAGCCTGAGTGGTAAGAAGTCAAGTGCTCACCTGCCACTTCTCCCACCTGAAGGTACCCGGAGCAGCACCCCCACCCCGGCCCTGGGAGGGACGGCTGGCCCACCTGGCAGGAGGGTCCCCGGGAAGAAAGCCAGGGACTTGAGTATGGCTTGCACAGTGAGTGTGCTGGGCATGAAATCTCAAGCCTTAGGAGCCTCTCCCTGCAGAGGAAGCCCCTGTGTCTATCACCCGCCTTTCACCCCACCCTGCCCTATCCAGATGGGGAGTGAGGGCACGGCGCTGCCCAGACACCCACCCTCTCCCCTTGGAACCCACTCCAGACGAGGAGAACCTCTCTCCCCATCCCTCGCTGGCTTCTACGAAGGTCTCCCTTTAATCCGCTGCTTCTTACCAGTGAGTGGCCCCCTGGTGCCTGGGAAGTTCCTTCATTCAGAGCAAAGACAGAAGGTTGGGGTTTGCAGCCGAAAGCCTGCAGTAAATATTTGCTGTTCCAAAGTATGCTCCCCGGTGGGGCTGTTACTGATTAACATCCTGCTTGGAGATGGTGGCATTTCTGGAAAAGCAGACAGAGAGAGAGGCTTCCCACATTTCCCAGCTGCTCCTCCAACTCTGAATGTGACCGAAATCCCACCAGGAGAGCTTCTGCCTCTGACTCGAGGGGTCGCCTTAGTAAGATCCAGCTCCTTGTGGGAGGAGCTGCTCCAGGCGCTGAGCACCTGGGTGGGGGTGGGGGGTGGGGGATGGCGGGGTCGGGGGGAAGTCAGGCAGCGGTGGATGGCACAGGGCCTCCTGAGTCCTGGGCTGGGCACCGCGTGGCAAGCAGGACAGAGATAATGAAGACCTGCCCCCCGCCACCCCCTGAGGACCTTCCAGTCCAGCGGGAGAGGCAGGCAGGTGAATTGCTATCAGCGACACGAAGCCTGTTTCAAGGTCAACTTACTCCTTCACGATGTCGATGGACTTATGAGACCAAGTCCTCCAGTACCCGAAGACAGGTGGAGGAGACCCTTTAACACAAAAATTCTCAGACCTATAAGACTCTCTTTTTAATAATATAAACATTTTGTTACATGCCCCTTACAGCCCTCAACTGAAATTTACAATTAATATAACCCACCCACAATTTTTTTAACTTTTTATTGAGATTATGATAGTTTACAACCTTGTGAAATTTCAGTTGTACGTTGTTGTTTGTCAGTCGTGTTGTAGGTGCACCACTCCACCCTTTGTGCCCACCCCCCACCCTCTCTTTCCCCTGGTAGCCACTAATCTGTTCTCTTTGTCCACATGTTTAACTTCGACATATGAGTGGATTCAAACAGAGATTGTCTTTCTCTATCTGTCTTATTTCACTTAACATAATACCCACAAGGTCCATCCATGTTGTTGTGAATGGGATGGTTTTATCCTTTTTTCTGGCTGAGTAGTATTCCATTGTATATATATATACCATAGCTTCTTTATCTAATCATAAGTTTATGGGCACTTAGGTTGCTTCCATGTCTTGGCTATTGTAAATAATGTTCCCATGAACATAAGGGTGCATGGGACTTTTGGAATTGCTGATTTCAAGTTCTTTGGATAGATACCCAGTAGTGGGATGGCTGGGTCATATGGTATTTCTATTTTTAATTTTTTGAGAAATCTCCATACTGTTTTCCATAGTGGCTGCACCAGTTTGCATTCCCACTAGCAGCATATGAGGGTTCCTTTTTCTCCACAACCTGTCCAACATTTGTTATTTTTGTTTTGGTTATTTTTGACATTCTAATGCTACTCACAAAATTAAAAAAAAAATGAAATCATGCTCTAACTATAATATGGAGGGGAAATAAAAGTAAATTCTAAGAAAATAACGTTTCTTTTAGTATATAAATGCCCTAGCCAGTTAGAAGACACAGTGATGCAGTCAGATGTGGGCACAGTTAGAGAACCTCCGCATCCTGCACCTTCGTTGTGCCCGCCATTCGATGCTACAACCAGAATCACTACCAGCCATGTGGGTTTCTACAATGGTGAGTCACGCTTGGTACAGTTCTAAAAAAGCAAAGTATAAATCTCCCTCTGATTTACACGGTAGTTGTCTTCATAGAAAATTCAACGGGAATTAAACCCTTGGGGGAAAATAGTGCTTTTATATGAAATAAAACACTATGGGACCGGAAGGGCCTAGGCTCAGATAATTTATGAGCGGGTTTTTCACCCACATGGACTTGCCGTGGGACATGTGGGACCCAGCTCACTCCTAGTGGTGGACAGTCCTGAGGGTTCCAGTATGTCTGGGCGTCTCTGGCCCTCACTCGCTAAATGCAATAGTGCTCCCCCAAATCTTTGAGAAAAGCAGAAGTGTTCCTGCAAGTTTCCAGAGTGTTCCTTTGGGGCAGTAGCTGCTCTGTTGCAAAGCCCTGCCTGAAGAGGTCAAAGCAAGGGGTGCACGTGGGCAAGGCTGTGTGGGGGCTTCCTGGCTCAGACCGCACAGGAGCCAGCCTTGGCCTTCCCATCCACTTTGTCCTGCAGCCTCGGGGCAGCCCTGCTGTCCTGGGAGACAGGGGCTGGTCCTGCAGGCTGAGGGAGTGTCAGCTTCGCCAAATGTCTGGGAGGAACCGGGGAGCGTGAACACGGGGGAGCAGGGCATCCCTGGGACTTCAGAAGCGCCATACAAGTCATCATGCTGCATTCGATCATTCAGGAGGCTCTTCAAACTGCTGCTGGATTTCAGAGATGGTCCTTTACAAGGGAAGGCAGCAGAACGTATAGAAAAGAGCATGAGGCCTCCGTCAGACACCCCCTGGGCTTGGGTCCCAAGTCCTCCACTCTAGAGCCCCAGCTGATGGACCTTGGGAATGTGACTTAACCTCTCTGAGCTTGCTTTCCCCTCTCTGGGAGGCACAAATATCTCAGCAGCACCCGGGAACCGGAAAGGAGATGGACAACACTGTTTCTAAGGCCGTGAGCTCTGGACCTCAGGAAGTATGGCTCGGAACTGTCCACCGCCAGCGAAGACATGAGTCCTGCAGGCTCTCGGCAGGTCAAACACCAGGCCTACCCCTGTAGCTCGAGCTCTTTCACCAGCTGTGTGACCCTCAACAAGCTCCCTAACCTCTCTTTGCCTCAGTTTCCTGATCTGTGAAATGGGGCTCCCAAGGCTGAGCTGTGAGCATGGTTGTGAGGATTCAGTGGGGTAAAGAGCTTGGTACCTGGTAGGAAGCTCTGATGGATGGCATCTGCTGCGTGATTTTAGAGCCAGAATGAACCTAGAGGTCACGTGGAGCCCGGGTTTGGGCTCTAGAGTTTGGCAATGCAGGTCCACGCCCACTGAGGCCTTTCCCGCCAGCGCTGGAGCCAGAAGAGAACCAGGCCACCTGACCTCCAGTTTGCACGCGATTGCAGCTCATGCCGTGCCCCCGCAGAGAAAGATTGGGAAAGATCTGATAGGAAGGGCTCTGGGGACGGCAGTGACATCAGGGGACACAGCACAGTCCCTCCTCGAACTCCCCTCCGGCCAGAAGCACAAGGCTTCCGGAAGGCGCCCAGCAGGACGAGATCAAGGGGCCCCAAAGGAAATATGTCCCGCACCGAGGGGGCTATGTGTCTGAGAAACTACTGGGGCCGGTGATTGGCATCGTCAGGCTTCAGGGAAGAGTGAGAACCGGGCAGTTTGTTCTGCGTGGCTCAGATCAAGAGGAAAGCTCGGGCAGCGGGGCAGCAAAGAGGTGGGAAAGGCTTCCGAGTCCTTGCCACATGCCCCGCGTGAGGTCAACGTCCCGCTGTTTGCCAGGCCCTCTCTTTCTGCCCCTTCCCGGTTGGCCCTTTGATCCTCTGCTTCTGCTCCAGACTGTGCTCCACCCACCTCACCCGCCTCAGGGACACCTAACAAGGTTGCAGACTGAGCCGTTCTGTCCCCAGTGCAGTGCTGCAGACAGCTCAGTCGTCGTACGGTGGCCCTGAGAAGCCGTCCTCAGGACAGTGGTCCACGAGGTGGGGTAACTTCTGGGTCACCAGGAGTTTGACTGGTTGGCACCTATAGTCTGCCGAGCCCTGAAGAGTAAAGAACCAAGCTTTCCTTGACATGGGTTTTTTCTTTGGTGGAGTCAAAAGAACCTTTGAATAGGAGAGAAACGATGTTTTCCTTAGAGGGTCTAAAGAAACAGATGCCCAGAGAGGTCAGGCAACTGGTTCAAGAGCACAGAGCTCTGGATTTGGACCAGACCTCTGGCTCTGAAGGCAGTGGTGTGTCTCCTAAGCCCCTGACTTAACCAGCACAACCACCCACTGGGACAACGCATTTTAACTAAGAAAATGGGCTTTCTACCTGGGAGGGCCTCAGGCTGCTGGGGATGACCTTGTGCAGGTGGTAGGACTTGAATGGATCTGGAACAGAGGCAGGATCCAGGATAGAGGCAGGTGGAGGGAGAAGGATCCTTTTCCTCTTGGGGTGTGGTGATCTGGGTGTGGGGGCAGTAGGGAGCCATTGAAGGTTTTGGAGCAGCGGAGAGGCAAGATCAGAAGTGGGCTTCAGGAATCTGATCCTGGAAGCCCTATTATTTATTTTTTGAGCCAAAAATAATGGATTTTAGATTATAAACTAAAAAAAAAAAAGGTTCTCAATTAGGGATCATAGTTGGAGGAGGAAGGGGCAGATGGTGAGGTGGAGTATGTCCTTCCCTGGAGGCCTCTGCAGCCATGGACGGTGACAACCCACATTTCCCCAGCCCAGCCTCCACCCGCTCCTGCTGCAGCTCCAGTCCCGGCCAGGTCTCTCCCCACGGATGTGTCCCTTGAATTTGTGAACGGTCCTTTGCCCTGTGACGTCTGCCTCATGACTCCTCTCCTGCCCAACAGCCCTGTCTGCCTTCAGTGAGGTCTCCTGCGGGTTGGGACCCGTATTAGATGCCCCAGCACAGCACAGCTGCTGTGCCACCACAGGAACAGACACCAAGGTGCCATCTCCCGGCGTTCCCAAAGCTGCCAGTCCCCCGGCGCCATGCAGAGCTGGTCTCTGGAGTTCCTGCAGTGAGGCTGCTATCCGAGGTCCAGCTAGGGCAGGGGGCACCTTTCCCCACTCTGTGCCACTTGTCACGAGAGCCTCAACCTCCTTCTCCACCCAGCGCCTGGGAGAGCAGCTCCCACCGCATGTGCCGGAGCCCATCTCTCCTGTGCCAGGGAGGCAGGCAGACGCGTGTGGCCCACGCTCCTTCACGTTCCTGCTCACACCTCTTTCCCGGATCGGCTGTACAGGGCCTGTCGCACCCATCCTGGCTAAATCCCGGCTGAGGGCCCAGCTTGGGCTAAGGCTGAGCTCCCTCCTGGAATAACTCCTCAGGAGTAGAGGTTTGCTTTCATCATAATAGCACAAAGCTGGGAGTCAGACTGGAGTCAAACACAGGGTCTTACCAGCTGTCCTGGGGCAAGTCCCTTAACCTCTCTGTGTCTCCAAGACAGAAAAATGTAAAATGGACACAGCAAAAGTACCCATGTCACAAGCAGGTTGTTCTAAGAGTAAGTGAGATGTCTGTGACACTCTGCCCAGTGCCCCACATGGCAAATGGGAACCACTGTCGGCATTCTTTCTGGCCCAGCGTGAGGCAGAGGGACCGCCTGGTTGACTGCCCGGGATTCCAAGTGCTACGACCAAGGGTGGGGACGGGGTGGTGTGGGCGTGAATGGCTGCTGAGTCACCGACGGATTTTGAGGGAGC